AAAGGGCACCTTGGTCTGCAGCTCATGTTGACTATAGTAAGGCCTTCTTCGCTGTACGTGATTCTGCGGCAATAATGATTAGTTCAAATGAAGCTTTTGTTAAATGTCTATGTGAATCCAATGTGATACAGTTTTTCAGAAAAATGGCCTTGCTTCCAAATTAATGCAGCCATGACAGAGATTTTTGGATGGTTTAGATGATAAAAGCTATATGTGCAAGTTGGGTAGGCTTGAGTTGAATAGTTATTAAAATTTTGCTTCTCTTAATAATTAATAATAATATTAATAGTAGAATCACGCAAGCAAGAAGAACAAACATAAAAAACAGCTTCATTGTTTGATTCTACAAGCACCTTCGATCAAGTTTTTAAATTCAATTCATCAATTAGTATGATACGGAAAAGATATGGTATGGAAAGAGTTTTCATCAATCAAAACCCATTCATGAATTTTGATAAAATTTCATTGTTGATTCAAACCACCTATAACCTGAGTCAAATGATTTTATTGTTTGGTTCAAATGGATGGTTCGTTTTAACCTTACAAAAATAAAATATATATATATATATAATGACAAAAGACTATTATCTGGATTGATGGATTAATGGTTCAATTGGTAGTTAACCAAATTAATAATTTTTGGCAAAAAACGATTTTAAGATAAAATGGAATGGAATACCTGACCAATTCACAGTCAACCGATCCAACCATACGATCCGGTCTGCTTTTCAAAATCATGATGGGACACATTGTCTTGTTAACTTATCTTTGCTCAGACCTTGTACTTGGTCGGTTGCTCTTTCCTTTCTACCTGTATCCTTGAAAGATTTGGTGCGGCGAATTTGCTTATGGGCTTAGAAAAAGGAAAAAAAATCCATTAGATTAGAAATGCCATATGTGTAAGTTATTAATGGTTTCTACAAGTTATATTAGCCGTTCAAAGTTTTAATTTTTAATATAAATTTTGCTTAAAGAAATAAGCTTTTTTAACACTGAAAAGTCGTTTTGGGCCAAAATTTATCTGTGAATTTGGAGACTGTGTTGACTGCCTGAGTTCCAAGGTAATTTTCCATAGGTATGCCACTGATTTAGAATGAATTAAACCAAACTTTGAATACTTAAGAAATAAAAAAGATACTTGCTACTTAATCTTTTCCTTAGCGCGCGTGTAACCATTAAAAATGTGAGGCCAAATCAGTTGAACCTGATGACATAATCAGATTTGGAGTTCTTTTTCTATCTATATGGATGAAGTGGCAAAACTGGTGTTATGTTAGGCTATTAGCATTATAGTGTTCAAGCATATTTTCAGCGTTTTTAACTGCTGTTGACCTTGATGGTAGAATCCTGAAATCATTATCGTTCATCTTAGAGATGATAATTTTTTTCATTTTCTTGATATTAATAAGTCAAATTTGAATCGAATATCAAATATTTAATCGAATTTAAATTTGAGCATTAATATATATCAAATTTTCTAATCAGATTTGAATTCAGATATTGTTTGATTCAATTTGAATTCATTCCGTTTACATCCCTATTAACCACAACAAATGGTGAGTGAGGCTTTATCATCCAAGGTTGAAGACTACAGTCTTGTATGTTCAAGTGGGGTGGCAAATGGATGGATTGGGTAAGAGTTGAATACCAACCCACCCGTATTGACCCACTAACCGACCATGGCCCATCATCAATCCTTGTTAAAGGGTCATATCCCACCCTGATGCACTTATATTGACCCACTTGACCCATCCATATTGATCCTAAATCACGCTCACTCATACTAATCCACATACCCTCACTTATAAATACAAAAAGGGGTTAGGATGGCCCATATACCCAAAATAATAATTTTTGAGAGAATAATCTCTTTCAAGACAAACACATGATAAAAATAAGTCAGGTCAACTCGTATACCCAGAAATGCAAAAATTGTAGATAAATATAGAAAATAATAGAAAAAATGCAGAAAATACAAAAAATTGCAGAAAATTCAAACTTTTGCAGAAAAATCAGAAAATATGCAAAAAAAAACTAGAAAATTACAGGAAATGCATGGAAAACACCAGAAAAATGCAAAAATTATGCAAAAAAGCACCAAAAAATTGTAAAAAATGGAGAAAAATACCAAAAAGTTGAAAACAAATGTAGAAAAATACCAAAAATTATAGAAAATGCAACAAATGCAAAAAAAAAGCTAAACTTGTATAAAAGTGTTTTTGTAAAAGTTATTTCACAAAAGTAATTTTATAAAAGTGCTTTCGTAAGCCCTTTTACAAAAGTACTTCTATAAAAGTACTTCCATAAAAGTGTTTTCTTGTAAAAGTACTTTCATAAAAATACTTTTGTAAAAGTGCTTTCGTAAAATTACTTTTATAAAAGTGCTTTCATAAAAGTACTTTTATAAAAGTTCTTTTATGCTTACATAAAAATGTTTTCGTAAAAGCACTTTCATAAAAGTGATTTCATGAAAAGTACTTTTGTAAAAATGCTTTTGTGTAAAATTGAATATAAACACAAAAATTAATAAAATCTATTTTATTTCACTTTTAATTCCAAAATGACATGTGGCATGGTGGTTTGGAATTTTAGTCCCATCTTGACCCTAATGGGTACCCTCGACCCAACCCACCTTGACTCTTTTTTATGAATGATATATCAAATCCATTAATCCATCGACAATTTATGTGAAAAAAAAATAATGTTTTGAATTTTTTTCATAATTTATAGAAATAAAAATGCTAAAAACAATCATTATTTTTGTAATTAAAATTTATGAATTACATATAATATGATATGAATTCTAATGGATCAGATATATTTTAAATTAAAATTATATATTTCTGTAAATTATTATTTAATAATTTGATTTACACTAGTTTATGTCATATTTATTATTTATAGAAACAAAAATGTATCATTTACCAAATTAACATAACTTACATTAATAATTTTTACGAAGTTACATACCCATTAGAAAAAATAATGAAATATAAATAATTGAATTAGCAACTAAAATATATTAGTTGAATATGATTTGTTTCTTGGACGCTTGGATGTATGGATCTTCTACATTCTCATGGATCCCATATATTTTGTAAATTAATTATATATTTATATCTTTATTAATTAATGATTTAATTTGAATAAGTAATAATATATTAATGGATTCATACATGTTGTAAAGCTGTTATATGATATTTACATATTCCTGGAAGGAGTACAAGTACAAATATGTAGAGTGCAAAACCTTATATTTTGTATTAGTTTGTATGCATTTGCACTGTGCATATTTATATTTGTACCATGGTTTTTAAAAACGAATTAGTGATCGAATCGTTTAGGGGTCCGGTTATTGGTTCAAACAGTCTGATCGTTCGATTCGAACGGCCGGCCCGTTCTGACAAAAAAAATAAAAATAAAAAAAAATAAAAATTTGAAAAACGGTCAAAACCGTTCGAACGGTTCAAAGGTTAACCGGCCAATTCAGTGGTTTGCTGACCAAAATCAACAATTTTGGGGGAAAACAAAACCGATCAAGTGACCGATTCCCGATTTTTCCAGTCCGACCGTCCTGTCTGGTCCGGTTTTGAAAACCATGATTTATACTTTTTCTAAACTGAAGCTTATATCTTTTTATAATTTTACAGTATTTGTTGTTTATGTGTGTAAGCCAATCAGGTAAGATTGGTTTGTGGGTTCTAAAAGTTGGATTCAAATGCTGATGGAAACGGTTGCAGAGCATCAAATGAGGGTGAAAATGTTTTTGAAAGGACCCCCTCAAGGGGACCAAATCCCCTATTTAGAAGGATTACTTCTAGAATATCCTAAGGAAATTGTTAGTTTTATTTTTCATTGGCAAGGTCCAGGCGCCTCTTTGGGTATACTCTGTGCATACTTTTTTTCTTTTATTTTCTTAATAAAGTTATCTTATCTCTTTCCATAATAATAATGATAATAATAATATCAAAAAAACATGATACCCAGAAAAACTTGAAATCAATCAATCAGTATAAGCCCAACTAATCTGAAGTTGTCAACTGTCTCACTGGCTCATTGATAAGGTCTACTTGGATGTAGTGGAGACTTGGGTTCCTAATGCATTGGGGATGGGCTGTGGGGCACCTGGGGAGTCCATCCAAACTCACCGTCTTCTTCACTGCAGTTTAATATTCTCATTATCCTTCCTTGATTATCTTTTATCTTCTCTTGGTTTGCAGAAAATTAAATGCTAGTGCGATATATAATTATATATAGAGCAATGTAGATGAAAGGACCAATTTTGACACTGAATTCACATTGATTCTCCATTAGAATGTATCTTACTGAACATCCCAACCATGAGAACATCTCTCCATGACAAATACATAAGATATTTCCAATGCATATTGTGATGTGCATATGGGATACACTACTCTGTAGGGAGCCCACCTCAACTCAGATGGAATCAGAACACCATAATCTGCTCCAGTAACGAGAAATTTGTTTAAGTAAATGCGTTTCCAAAATTTGCATCAAGTGAAAAAGGCATAAATTAATTAAAAGAGGTATTAAATTGAATTGCCATTTTTCATTTTGGCAGGAAAAACGGTATAAGGGGCCAAGATGGAGTATTGCCCAATCAATTATTAATCAGTTATATAAAGTAGACCCAGAATGAAACTAATTGTTAATTTGGACATTTGGGGCTAACCCAATTATATTTGACATAAATAATTATTTTGAACTCCAATTTTGATAATATAATTTTAATAAAAATAACAGTGAATGGTTGAACTGAATTGCATATAACACATGCACTCGCTCATAGTTGTAGTCCCATCCATACAAATGAAACTGCAATGCTAACAAATGAAGCAGTAATAAAAAAATTTATGTAATATCATCGATGTATAGTTGAGAAGGTTCATTGATGACCGATTTGGTTTTCAATACAACATTTATTCATTTATGGATTAGTTAGGGCGACCTATCATTTGTTTTTGTCTGGTCATTTTTCGTCATGGGACGGTGTAACCTGAAATAGAAAAATAGCAAATTAAAATAATGAGCAACAACTAATTTTAACGCATGTACAAGATAAAATAAGTAAAATTAAAATTGAATAAGTCTTAAAAGAATATCATATTTAACAAATAGAAAAATGCCTATATATCAAGATATAACCTAAGGTTATGTTTGGTTTAAAAAAAAAAAGTAGGGAAAGGAAAGACAAAAAAACCGATATAAGATTTAAAAGTTTTTTTACCTTTTCCTTCTTTTTCCTATTTTTTTCCTTCAAACCAAACGTAGCCTAAGTGTTACCTAGGCAGCCTGTGCCCTTTGCTGGATGTTTCTAGGCGCCTTGATATCATATTTAACAAATAAAAAAAATATCTATATATCCACTATCTCCTGTGCACGTCTACCCACAATACACTATCCCCTGTGAATTGGGAATATCTCCCCTGCATAATACTATGCAGAGGATGAGGTATTCTCCATGTATAGCGGCGATAAATGTGAGCAGAGTTCTGGTGGAGAGGAAATCCAGAATCATCATATATACACACAGAGTCTGACTATGATACCGAAAAAATATGATGGTTATAACCTTTGATACCATGCATACTTACTTCCACATTTGGTACCATGGGGAACTGGGTTGCCGCACATATATGCCACATAGATCAACTTCTCCATGCTAATGTGAGACTCTTCTTGCTCGGTAACACTTGCACACACACAGGGCATGTTGGCATTCCTCACAATACCACAACACCCCTGTGATGGTGGAGTCTTGGGCCCCGGATACTGAATGTAATTCCAACAGTTGTATCCTATAGACAGAATATCGCCATCACACGCAGCATTTTCCTTGATGGGAACCTGGTGGCTGGAGACTACAACTCCGCCAATCAACCAGGTTGCTAATAATAAGACGACCAAGTAACAAATGTTAGAAGCTACCATCTCGATCGATCTCTCCTTTGTCCTTGCTTCTCTGTTTTGGATGTTTGCTTGGTGAGGCAAGTTCAGCAATAAGGAGAATAGGTCTGTAACTAATTTATATTCACACCTTGCTTTTCAATTTGCTTAAATCTCGAGACATTTGCACCCCTTGCATGCATACGTTTTGGAATATGAAGTGAAACGCAAAACAGAGTTGTAAATAGAGTTGGTTGGGCGTTAATTGCTACCATTAATTGTAGACAAAATAGAGAATTGAATTGTAATTGGAGTCGATTACTCTACTCTGGTATATTAATTAATGAGCTGGTTTTGGGAGTTAGGTCATTCTGAATGGCAATGCTTGTAAAAAAGAAATAGGGTTATAACCGATAAGGGGAACTTTTTGCTTTTAATATCAACTAAAGTAACACTTTTGGAAGAATTACAACGTAAAGGTAACTTTTTTCGAAAAATATCATTTAGGAATTTGGAGCAGTGACATTTGAAGAAAAGTGAGGACACCTTATAGTATATAAATTGAAACTTTCTCTCATTTGTCTTTCTTTCTCTCTCCCTCTGTTGAAGCTTCAAGAATAGGAGTCGGTGTCGGTTTCTGATTCGAAAACTTTCCACTAGGATACACAGGGACACACTAGGTAATGGCTCCCTCTCAAGTGGAGGAAAATTCTGAGAAGCACAGATCAAAGCAGGCAACACCCCACCAAACAACGCAGACCTCGATGCTTTACCAAACCTTGACGCATCTGGAGGAACCCGCTGGTGGTGGCACCAGTAATGACAGAGTTCCAAGGGTCTTCTTTTTGTTGGATATAGACCATGGTGCAACTGAAGATGGACAAGAACCGCCCCAGCCGGTGAAGCTGCCACCGATAAGGGGAGCGTTCATGTGACCGGATTGAGAACCGCCGGTTAGATGCCCGCCTTTTGGGGGAGTTGTAGACGTCTTTGATTATGTGGAAGAATGAGCTGCCAACGACACCCATGCCGAAAGCACCGCTGACATCGTCTAGGATTCAGTTCGGGTCAGGACTCTCGAGAAGTCTCGGATGTCCCCATCTGATAAGTAGAAATCTTTCTTTGAAGAGTTAACAAAAGAGAACAAGGTCTCTGTTTTTCTCCAGTACAGATAGAGAGAGATGGTCTCTGTTTTTGTTTTTCTCCAAAACACAGAGAGAGAAAGAGAGAGAGAGAGAGAGTTGGTCTCAGTTTTTGTTTTTCTATAGAACACAGAGAGAGAGAGAGATATGGTCTCTGTTTTTTGTTTTCTCCAGAACAGAGAGAGAGAGAGATGAATGATGGCCAAGGTCATCTCATTTTAATCGAGTGAAAGAAAGACAAAGAGGGAGAGCGTTTCGAATGAGAAGAATAATTTTGTCCAAAAAATACGAATACAATTTGTATCGCATACACATAAAGACGTTGTATTTAAATGCTCTTATTTGATATTTTTCAGAAAAAGCTGTCTCGAAATTGTAATTTTTCTAAAAGTGTTATTTTTATTGCTATTAGAGGCAAAAAGTTGCTTTTATTTGTTAGAACCCCCATTTTTGAAAATTCTCAACATCAAGAAACACAGTAGACTATTGAATTACAGATCTCAACATCAACATCAAGAAACACATCGAAGCTCTAGCTTTCCTTGAGGGCATCAAGTTGACCATTGAATTACAGATCTCTTCTATCGTTTTAGAAGGAGATGAGCAGAAGATAGTTTCTCTCCTGTTGAATCCCTCCTTAGTGATTCTCTTGTGCATTCACCACTTGATAGTTGAGTGTGGGAGTCTTTTGCGAATGTTCTCTCTTTTTTATGTCTCATTAGTCTATGTACGTGTAATTGTGTGGCTCATTCGATTGCTAAAAGGGCTTGTTTTTTGTCTAGGACAAAGACTTGGTCTACCCCACCCTAATTTTCTACCACCGATGATTCAGCCTACAGGCTTTTCAAAAAAAAAAAAAAGACTTTATCATCCATGATTGCCAATCAGGATACGCTCGCTCAGATCCAGGAAAAAAAGACGTCTAGAAAGCTATTTCTGGTCTAAGATTAATTGCCAAATGGGAATTATTAGATTGGCCTCAATAAAATTCTTGAGATATTGCACTGGAAAAGGGATCTTAAAATTTTTTGTAATTCAAAAATTTTAATATATGATATATATGTATCTTAAAAATTCCAAGGGATCTGATATATTTTAAATTAGAATTATATATTTCTATAAATTATTATTTAACATTTTTATTTACACTAATTAATGACATATTTATTATTTATGGAAACAAAAATCATTTGCAAAATTAACGGTACTTAGATTAATATTTTTTTTAAGAAGTTAGGTACATACCCATTAGCAAAAATAGTGAAATATAAATGATTGATTTAGTAACTAAAATATATTAATTGAATATGATATGTTTCTTGGACGCTTGGATGTATGGATCGTCAACATTCTCATGTATCCAACATATTCTGTAAATTAATTATATATTTATATCTTTCTTAATTAATTAATTATTTAATTTAAATAAATAATAACATATTAATGACTTTATACATGTTGTAAAGCTGTTTTATGACATCCACATATCCTATCATGTTGGTTGTAACTTATATCTTTTCTATAATATTACATTATTTGTAATTTATGTGTGTTACCCAATCAAGACTGGTTTGTGGGTTCTGAAAATTGGATTCAAATGCCCATGGAAAGGGATGCAGAACATCAAATGAGGGTGAAACTTGAAATCAATCTATCGGTATAAAAGTGGTAACCAATCTGAAGGAGTCAACTAAGCTCATTGATAAGGTCTAGTTGGTCACTTGGTTGTAGTTGGGACATGGGTTCAAGTTGTGCCACTAACTCAGGGCCTCGGGGGGTTATGGGTTTGTTACACGGGCTACCCAGCTACACCTCCATTGTGTAGCCCATTCGAATTCACCATCTCCTTCTCTCTTTTTAATATTCTCATGTTCTTTTTCTCACTAGCTTCTTCTTTTCTCTTATTTGCAGTAAGTTAAATGTAAGTCGGGCATATAACTTTACATAGAGCTATGTGGAGGAAAGGACCAACTTGGACAGGATGTATTCACACTGGCTCTCCATATAATGTGTTCCATAGAACATCCCTACCATGCATTGAGAACATCTCTCCTCATGACAAATTGGGAGATGTTTCCAATGTATACTGAGAGATGTGCATGTGGGGCATACTATTCTGCGGAGCCCCCACCTTAACTCGGACTCCAAATTTGCATATCTAGAATCTTCTCCAATAAGGAGAAATTTGTTTCAGACTTTCGTGAAAGCGTTTCTAAAATTTGCATTAAGTGAAAAGGCATAAATTAAAAGAGGTATTAAATTGCCATTTTTCATTTTGGCGGGAAACTCGGAATAAAAGGGCCAAGATGGTGTAGTGCCTAATCAATTATTAAGCAGTTCTATTTCAATAAAATAGACCCAGAACCAAATTAATTATTAATGAGATATTTGGGTCTAACCCAATTATATATACTTGACATTAATAATTATTTTGAACTTTAGTTTTGATAATATAATTTTAATAAAAACAACAGTGAATAGTAGATTGTTTATATGTTAATAAAACAAGTGTTTTAATTAACCAAAATTATTATTAAATTATCACTTTAAACAAAATATAATAAATAGGGTTCAACTATGATATGAAAAAGATATGATATCTGAAAAATGTCTGACCAATCAACTAGAATCATAAAGTGTGGTAGCCAATCAGATGTTACTTATCAAAATTCATGGGTGATGGTTTTGATTGGTCAAAAATCTTTCGATACCATGTTTTCCCGCATCATAGATTTTTTCTAATAATTACAAGAAAACAGACAACCATTATATATTATTACTATACGCGTCAAAAAAAATTGACATAACTAATTTGGTCGATTTATTTATTTTTTAATCCTCAAAATTTGCTCGAGATGGAGGGGAGAGTTGATCCAATTACTGTAAGGGACTATTTGTTTACGGTTTGAGACACCAGATTTTATTTCCAATTGAGAGGATTCTATGATTCAATGGCCAATCTTAATTATGCTTTGTCGTTTTATCCTTTCTGTGGAGTGAATAGGAGAAATGCTTATCACACTTTGCCCTTGCTCGTAGTTGTAATCCCATGCATATACCAAATGAAACTGCATTTATGTAAACAAATGTAGCTGTAATAAAAAAGTTTATATAATATTCATCGATGTAAAGTTGAGAAGGTTAATTGATGGTTTTGTTTCTAATACAACATTTATTGATTAGGGTGACATATTCTTTGTGTTTTCTTTCCACCTTTCGTCATCATGGAACGGTGAAACCTGAAATAGAAAAATAGCATAACAATGAGCAACCAACTAATTATAAAACATGTACAAGTAATTAATATAAAATAATTAAAGCTAATACCGATTAATTCCTAAAAGAATATTATGTTTAACAAATAAAAAAAATACATAAATATCATTAATTGTTATCAAGGTTTAACCCAAGTGTTACCTAGGCGACCAGTGCCCTTTGCTGGGCATTTCTAAGGGTGCAATTTGGGCAGACTCAAATTGGGTTTTTGTCAAAATTTGAATGGATCAAAATCAAATCTCGAATTCAAAACAGTGTAAAATATTAATTTGGACGAACCCAAACTACACCCTTACGTTTTATTTGAACATCAATGCTTATGAATATTATTATCAATAGTGCCAATGAGAGTGTGAAAGTTTTGTTTGACTAAAATACCCTAATTTTTGAATTTATTTATTCACAAAAATATAATTTGAGTACATTTTTCTTTGCATTCAAATCTCTTTTATTAATTCTTATATTTAAAGTATTAACTCTGGTTAATACTTATTGATACTTTTCTTGACTAAAACACCCATATTTACTATCATCATCATTACAAAAAATTATCACATATAAAGCATATGCACACTTGTTAATATAAAAAAAAAGAATCCATTAATCCAATGCCTAATTGATCAATAT